GTGTTGTTAAAGCAAGCTGCCTCCCAGCCTCCTCTGAAGCTGGACAGACTGAACTCCTGCTGCTTTTGTGGTCGAGACTCACTTCTGTTCTTCCAGTCTTCCCACATCTGTTTTTAGTCTGACCTTGAAGGAGGAGGCACAGAGGAGCCTTTCAGAGCGGTCTGAAGGATTTCCATGCTCCTCAGAACCAGGATGCAGGGCCCTAGGTGCTGAGCCCTGGGATCTCTGCTTTAGGGTGAAGAATTCAGGCTGTGGATATGATATTTCTTCACCCCTGGCAAAACAGCCTCCAGCTCCAGAAAGCACAGAATTCCTGGATTACTGGATGCTGGGATGTGGGCACACCTTCTTCCCTTCTCTTTCCTCAAAGCATCCTCTACAGTCCATGCCCAAAAAGAGGACCTGCTCAGAGGGGCCCTTCCCTGACCCAGTACAGCCAGCCTGTGCAGTGCAGCCCCACTTCAGGGAGGGACTGAGGCACCGGGTGCCCCAATGCACTCTCCTGTCTCTGGCAACAAAGGGGGCTTGCTGGGTGCCAGAGCCCTCGGGCTGCCGGACACTGCCTGGGGCTGCTTTGTGTTTATGCTCCCCAGCAGTCCGTCCTCCCCACCAAGAAGCTGCAAGCAATGTTAGCTTGGGCTGCCCTGTCCCTGCAGATGCTGGTCCCCATGGCACCTCCTTTCTTTAGCTGAGGGGAGCCTTGTCAGGTCCCTTTGGCCCTGTGTCTCCGCCAAAGTTTTGTACAGTCAGAGCACCCACAGCCAGCCAGAGCCCAGACGGCAGCCGAGCACTGCAGAGCTGAGCCATCTTTCATCTGACATTTGTATTTGTCCCGGAAATCCTTTGAGCCTCTCATTTGGTTTTAGCCTCGAATATGTTTTGTGTGCAAAATAATGCACCATGTGTGTGTGTCAGAGCCATCAGCACAGCATGCCTCTGTTCAGTCCCTAGTCTAACTGGCCAGTGGCTGCAAGGTGGGTCCCACAGACTGTCTCTCCTGGCACTGTGGTGCTGCAGGTCTGCATAGCTCCGGAAAGAGCTATGTCCATCCCTGCTCCCACAAAGAGTTTGCAGAGCCCCACCCCAGCCTCGGCTCTGCTTGTTTGACCCATCCCACCCAGCATCCAGGTACTTGGGATCAAACCTGGATCGTGATCGGTTAATGCCCCCTTCATAAATTCCTACCTTGTGCGTCACCACTGTGTTTGTGAAGGGCTTGGTGGACACTTTGGGAGATGGGCAGGTTGGGATCAAAGCTGGAATCTGGGGGAGATAACGTGGATGGTGCCCCACGCCCTGCAAAGTGGGCGAGCTGGAGCAACCCTTGCCAATCAGGGCATGTCTCTGGGGCCACGATGCTCCATCTTGCCCCCCAAGACGTATCAGTGGGGACGTGCCAAGGACCTTTCCCGTTAATGCCCCCCACCACCACTCTGGCACTTTACTCCCAGCTGCAAACCTCTGGGTTTGATTGCCACTGTGGTGCTGGGAGAAGCAGTAAAAACTGAACCCCGGAGCGACAATAAAGCCAGCAGAGAGGAGATAAGCGGGGATCAAACACGGTGCGGCAGCCACCTCATGCTGGACTCTCAAAGGCCCCTTTGTTCCTGCTGCCTCCTGATTCAGTGCCGCGCTGCCTTCAAGGGCTGTGGGTGAGATAGCGGGGCTCATGGGCAGCCCTGCCGCCGCAGCCCCTGGCAGTTGGGCAGCCACCTGCATGGCCTGGCAATAAAAAAAGGAGGATTCATTTCAGTCACAGGATTGATTCCAGTTGCACACTGAGGCCTGATAGCTTATCTTGCTGGTTCCTATCAGCCATGCAATAAAGCCATTATTGGGGCAGGAGATAATGGAAGAGACACTCGCCTTCCTCCTCGTCCCAGGTGAAGGGGTGTCCCATCCACACCGCTGCTTTCTGAACCCTGCCCGCTGTCTGTTCCACAGCCACCCCACAGTCTGGCTTGATGGGGAAGTGCCGTCGGCCCCGCACAGCCTTCACCAGCCAGCAGCTCCTGGAACTGGAGAACCAGTTCAAGCTCAACAAGTACCTGTCCAGACCCAAGCGCTTTGAGGTGGCCACATCGCTGATGCTCACCGAGACGCAGGTACCTTGGTCCGGGGGGGATGGAGCATAGCACCAGGCAGCTGTCAGGGAGGGAAGTCAAGGTCATGGGCAATGCTGATGCCCCCCGCTTGGATGCCATCAGCTCCACACCCCACTGCCACCATCAGCACCTCTTTCCAGGGCATCTCCTGCAGAGACCTGCCTGGTGGGCTCCAGGCTCTTCTCTTGCAAAGGGCATCCCAGAAATACTGCTCCTCTTTTTACCCAGCACCCCCAGCTTGGGTTTCAGAGCCTTCCCATCCCTTGTTGCACTGTGGGAGGGGGCTTTTTGTGAGGCTAAAATTAAAATGTCCCCATGCATGTCCTTGGGCATTCTGCAGAGGCTGGGCAGTGGGAAGGGAGCGGTCCCCTGGGTACTCTCTACCTGTGATAACCTCAGCCTCCTTGCATAGATCTGCAGCACTACAGGATGCTCTGCAACAAAGAGGCTTTATGGGGACCCTCCATGCAGGGAAGGTGAGGGGGTGAGTGGGGACAGGATGGGGCAGGGGGACACACTCTCCCCTGGGGGCTCTCCCTCGGTAGGTGAAGATCTGGTTCCAGAACCGCCGCATGAAGTGGAAGCGGAGCCGCAAAGCCAAGGAGCAGGGGGCTCAGCCGGAGGCCGAGAAGCAACGAGGGCTCAGCAAAGCCTGCGAGAAGCTGCTGCCCAGCGAGCCCCGGGGACAAGCTACTGAAAGCCCAGAGTTCATGGGGCGCAGCCCTGGCTCAGGCTTCCTGCACCACAGCACTGCTGAGCTGGGCTACAGCCCGGACTCCTCCTGCTCGGGGGGTGAGGAGGAAGAGGAAGAGGAGGACGAGATGGGTGCCACGGAGAGGAAGATCAGCTCTGTGTTGTGAAAGGCGGACAGAGCCAGCCAGGGAGAGGGGCCGGGCTATGGCGTTGGGGGTCTCTTTGCTGGCAGACACAGACTGTGCCTGAGTGGAGCAGGGGGGGTCTGCAGGGCACCTGCCCCCCTTTAACTTATGTGTGTTTGGATCTTATTTAACTCATAATTATTCCTCTATGTGTATCTGGGAGAGTACCCACATCCCTCACCTATAAAGCTGTTATCCAGATGCCTGTGCTCTTCCTTAGGGGTTGGGAGGTCACCGCACTGCCCTGCCAAGGTCCCTGGGAACTGGGTGGGGACAGCAGACTTGCACAGCTGGCATCCTGCTGGCACAGCTGGAGGGGAGAGACCCCGGACCCTCCTTTGACTGTGTGCTGCCCCTTCTCTGCTGGTATGACAGTTCTTGGAGCAGCACATCCTTGCATGGTGCCAGCTGCCCTTCCCTTTGGTGGCATGGAGGGCTGGGAAGGAGGATGCCCAGAATGTCTGCCAGCCTGCCCTGCCTCCTCCTGCATCTGTGGCATCCCTGGTGGAGTCTGCGCTTTGCAGGGCAAAACTAATCTGTCCTGCAGAGCAAAGCTGGTTAATTGTCTAATGCAGCAGTGCTGTTTTCCATGCTGCAATTATCCTGGTTGCATCGGTGTGGTATTGCCCCAAAGTGAGGCGGGGATGGCTCCCTCCTGGATTTAGAGAAGTGCTCAGACTCTTTTTGAGGGCTCAGTGCTGTGGTGAGTCCCTCCTTCTCCCGTGGTGATGCTGAAACACCTCTCACTTTCTGGGCTCATTTAATGATCCTCTTGGGACCCTGCTTACCCTGGTTGAGTTCAAATCAACCCCTAGTAGCAGGATGATAACAGACATCCTCTGCCACCTCCCTAGAAGCACTAGGGTTAAGTCCTGCCCCCTGTCCCCAAGGCGAGCAGGCTGCCCTTGTCCTCAGGATGCTGGAGGGTCCTGGCAGACCCTATAGACCTCTCATGCCTCCTGCACGCTTTCTGGGTCTCCCCTTGGGGATGCTGAGATGGCCATGAAGGCAGAGGGGCCAGCCCTGCAATGTCCAGCCCCCTCAGCCCGAGGGTGCAGCCCTGCTTCACCACACCACCACATGTAGGGCTGCAGGAGCTGGGCAGACTAGGCTGGGCTGCTCCGTTCCCAGGCAGCCCGTGGTGTCTCCCTCCTGCCCACGTCCTGCTGTCCTCTCCTCTCTTCTCCTTGTCCCTGCCTGGGGGTGGTAGAGAGAGCTGCCTCCCCCGGGACATGGGGGTGGGAGCTGCTGTGGGGCAGCAGCCCCCAAGGAGCCCTGGGTCACCTCCAGTAACCAGTCAGTAAGGGATGGGACAGGTAAGTGTTGGTGTGAGGCTCTCACACCTCACAGGCTGGGTAACGCCTGGCAGCTGCTGATGCTGCCACAGGGATGGGGGGCAGCATCCTGGGCACAGGGGGACAGTTGTGACGCTTTTGGGACTGAGGGATGGACAGGGAAGCAGATGGTTGGAGACAAGAGCATGGGGACGGATGGACGGATGAACGGATGAACAACGGTCCTGTGTGGGGTGACAGTGACCCACAGTGGCTGCTGCCAGCTCAGCAGCTTCTCCCTGGGTGTGAGCCATCCTCGGTGCTCCAGTCCTTTGTCCCCAGGCAACCCAGCCCAAGGTATGGCAGTGGTGTCCAGACCTCTGGCACTGCCCGGGTGAGACCTCTGGTCCTGGGGATGGTTCAAGGGGAGATGTGAGTCAGGGCAGGGGCTGGATGCCAGGAGCCTGTGATGGTTGGTGCAATATGGAGCAGGAGAGGAATAAATGTGGGGAAGGGGGCGGAAAGACAGAGAAGGAAGTGAAAGGAGGGGAGGGAGAAGTAGGAAGGGATGGTACCCAGTTCCCTGCCATTGACCTGCAGGGACAGTGGGGTGGGAGAGACCCAGCACACCAGGAGATCTGGGCACCCCCCAAGGAGGCACACAGGACTGGGCATGGAGATGCTGGCAGATGCCAGGCCATAGCTGCAGGAGCTTCAGAGCTAAAGACATCTACCACCCAATGTACAACCTGGTGCTCTGGCAGTGGAGGAGCAAGGAGAAGACCACAGGCTGGAGCACATCAGGGCAGGGCTGAGGTGAGGGGGACAGGGACATCAGGGGCATAGAGGAAAGAGAGAAGGAAAGCAACAAAAAAGAGAGTGCCAGGAAAGGGGGGGGATGCTGAAGGGATGTCACAGACTTAAAACGTTCACCTTGATGGGCTGTGACAGGTTTAATTTCCAGAGTACAACCATTAAAGTGATGGATGGGAGGCGTTCATCTCGCGCCTGGTGCACACGGGCTTGCCGTGGCTGAAAGAGGGTTTGTTTTGTTGCTGTTATTTATGAGGTTGTTTCTGCAGGAGCAAGGAACTCGTCCAGTACTGAGGGGACGGAGCAGGGGACACGATTGATGCGGGAGGAGTTGGGGTACTGATTTATGGCTCCTTAGCTGGATGACTCACATTGTAAACATCGACAAATACCATTAAAGATGCATCTCCTCCCTGCCTCTGCCCTGGCACTCTCCCCATGCTGCGGGATGCAGTCAGACCTGCTCTCCACAACGCTGCTGCCTGTGCACTACAGGGGGGCTGTCTGGCCCTCTGCATCAGGGACACAAGGGTTCTCCCCTCCCTGAGGGACATCCAGGGCCCTGGAAAGATGCAGGAGTAACCCATGGTGGTGGTGGTGCCCCATGGGAATGATACCAGGGATACCTAATGGGCTTTCACAGCCAGGGGGGCAACCCAGCCTGTGTCCTTCTGCCCCTTTGCTGGTCTTGACACCATAACTTCTTTCAGCAGCAGTCACAGTTTGTTATTTGTGTCACCAATGGCCCAAGGAGCTTGGGGTGCTGCCCCATCCCAGGGTGCTACCCCATCCATATGCCAGCACTCTCCAGCCTGCTGCACCCCTCTCCCCGTCAGCATCCCTACCTCTTAGCCCTGCAGCCCCCTCACCCACCCATCCTGTACACCCATGTACTTCACAGCACCCCCTTTGCCGACTCAGCTTTGCATTTGTGTCCCTCCCCTTCACCCATCCTCATCATCCCTCTCCCGTGAGCTCTCTCCTGTACCTCTCCACCTGCCCCCTGCATCCCCTGCACCCCTTGGGGTGCTCCCCACCCCCACTCCATCTCCCTGCTCCTGAACTCCCCCGTCTCCTCCTC